CTTGTCATTTTCATGAATAAATTTTATTTTACCTATGGGTCTTCATATATTTTCGAACAAATCCTGGTGAGTAGTTATTCACTAGTAATATTTTCCTTATTTGTTTGATTTCATTATTTAAACCTTCTGACTTGCTATTTAGGTTACTGGCTTGATTATATAAACTGATACGGAAAACTAAAACCTTATTTAGGAATATGTGCTTCTATAAATTTAAGACTTTAGATAGTGGAAGAACTATTAAATATTACTATTAAATAAATACTATTAAATATTTTCAACTTAGAACTTTGCACAGAATAACAGCAGCTCAAGTTGTCACACACCATATAGCATACAAAGGTACAGGAAACAATTCGAAGGGATTATAATAAGATGAAGATCAAATGGCCACTAGGCCAGAAAGAATTAGCAACAAGAAACTCTTGCTGGGAACAAACCGATTGCTCAACAAATATGTGGGAGAAAATGGAGATAGATCCGGTATACATTGAGGGGATCGTCGAATGACGCCGCGCTCAATGCAGGCCATCACTCGAGTAGAATCCCGATGGGAAGCGGTGACGAGTGGGTCGTTAATGTGAAGGTGACATGGAGGAGATCGTGTGGGGATTTGGAGATGAGAGATTATCAGCAATTGTGGACCCAGATGAAGAAAACAACAGATAATAGAACAAAGTGGAGATGTGTTACGGATGCCCTATTTTCCACTCGGAACTCAAGCGAGCAATAATATAATAAAAAATGGAAATGTACAGGAGGAAGACTAATGAAAATAGAATACATCTAGGGAATCACAAAGAGTGAATACACTTAAACCATTGAGAACAACTTTTTAACCGTATCATCAAATAGTATCCCTTCATTAATTCATAGTGTCCTGAGGACACCAGTGAGACAGTCTTCACCTACCTGTGTGGTTTAAGTCAACAGTTAAAGGATTCTTATAGTGACGCCAGATTTTTATTTGACTACTCCTATCTCTTTCCCAATTCTATCCTATGTCCATTAGCATTGCTGATCGAGGTAGGTAACGGCTTGGTAGAGGTAACACGCATAATTTAAGCTGAATCAATACGCACACCCACTCACTTACTCACTCATAACTCGTTGTTATTTCAATTTAATAAATCGACATTATACAAATACTAAGCCTTTATAATACTTGTAGCTTGTTTGAAGTGTGATTAGTTACCATTTACCAGGATATGAGCCACACTTGTGTGAATCCAGATGATGCCATCCAGATTATTATTATTATTGTTTCCTTTAATTCCTAGAGGAATATAGGGCTTCAGCCGTGTGTCTCCATTGCGTTCAGTTCTCTGCGAGAGTCTTCACCTGGCTCCAGGTCTGCCCACACGCTTTCATCTCCTCTTCACATGACCTCCTCCAAGTCACCCTTGCACTGACGACCAACTCGCCGCTTCCCTTTCAGGTTCCACTCGAGCAATGGCTTGTCTAGTGATGTCACTTGATGGTTTCCTCATCTCCATTTCTTCCTGCTTATTTGTTTCACAATTGGTTCCTGGTTCGTTCGCTCCCAGAGATCTCTGTTGCTAATCTTTTCTGGCCAGCCATCTGATCTTGAGTATTGAGCGAAGACAACTGTTGATGAAGGTCTGTAGTTTGTTTGAGATGCTCTTTATGACACGCCAAGTCTCTGATCCGTATAGTGAGTAGCACTGACTTCACATTGGAGTTGAAAATCCGGATCCCATCCAGATGCCTAGACTTAAATAAAACAGAGCAGGAGTCTAACCGACGACCCATTGGTTGAAGGTTTAGTGATTACGCCAGTATAGGGCATATCGCTTCACTCTTCACAATACATATCAGTAAAACTAATATTCTGTAAAGATGGTAATATGATAAAAATTTATCTCATATTAGCGCATATAAATAATTAGGAACATTAATCACTTGATAAATGTTAGATAATTGCAAATATTCCGAGTTAGAGTATAGTCTTTGTTAAAGAAATATACAAAAATTAGATTTTTTTGGATAAATAGGTTAGCGCTGTACTCAGCAAACTAGGCGTGATAGGGCTTCCTAACGATTTTGTCAGCAATTCACTGGTTGTTATTGAATTCACTAAATTAGACGTATAATAAGCTAAGAGTGAGCAGTGAATTTCAGCGAAAAAAAGCAGTTTTAAATTCAGTGTTCTTCATGAACCAACATTAGTTAGAAAAGTATTAGGAACAAGGAAGTGCTGGACAGTTGTTTCGCTCCACTTCGAACCTCTTCATCAGCCGGCACTACGGTTTTCAAAGGGTTTATAACTAATTGAATTCTATCTTGAAACTCGTCAAATTCCTACAACATAACACTTGGAAGCAAATCATCTTCAGCTACACTGTAAGAGTGCTGTTTTGTTCTGCATTCGTTTGTGTATCACACAGTAAAATGCAAAAGTTGACCTTTCCATAAGAACAAGTAGAAACAATATTATATATATATGTATATATATATATATTATTGTAATCATTCAGCTGTTAGGAATCGGTAACATTTTGCTTACTCTTAAGTACTAAAGACATAATACAAGGCAGCTTTAAAATGCAGCGATTAAACTAAAGGGTTTGGAGTAGCTATGTAGTGATTCTTCTGCTAAATAATGACAGTTTAGGGGCTGAGGATATTGACGTTCACAGATAGTACGAAGTATACTAACGCAAGATCTAATACCCGCAACTTCTATAGTATTCGTTCCACGCAGACCAAACACAAAACAAAACACATTAATTGATCGTCCAAATTACGAGATATTTTTCGGGATTAAATCGGAGTGTGAGATGATTGCTTAGTTAGCTAGAGATAGTGCACGAACGAACGAACGAACGTGACACGACGGAGTACCAAATGGCGTGGATACGTGACCGGAAGCCCTCAGCTAAACCAGTTGACTTAAACAGTGAGGGTCAGCATCCAATGTTCAGTGATGAATGCTGTGGCCAATAATTTTGGGGAATTATTTACCGCTACGACAGAAACTCAACAGTAGATGAGAGATTTAAGGAAACTGAAATAGGATTAGATTGAAATCGTGGGCTTATTTCAGGGTGTTGTAGAGACTATTTTAGCAGCCTGACCTTGTTATATGGCGACGATCTTCAGTATTGATTTTACTTTTCTTTTGGTGCCATTTTATGTTGTTATAACCACAGGTTTCTGTGATTAATACACTCTAGAGTGATGTTAGGTTACCTTGATTTAGTTTAAAGTGACCTATATGTTTTTGATTTGAAAGCGATTAGCCGGACAATCGGTTTAGTTGTGTAGAAAGTTGAGGTGAATAATAATAATAATCCCTTAAGTGGGAGAGACAAGAGATGTGTGAATAACGTATTAATGATAAAATATTACCAACTGTGGACTAGAAATGTTTACACGCGAAATACAAACCAACTTCTTTGCATTTTACATCCAGCAGTTTATTTTGCAGCATAGAATAAAACATATACCTACAAGCATTCTACTTTATCATTCACCTGTTCAATGAAAATGCTGAGAAAATCCCCTGAGACTTTAATTTGCTAACTACAGTATGAATGAGTGCATAACTCAAATACTTAAATAGATATTTCATCAAAGTAGACAGTCGAAATTGGAGCACGAGTATATAGATATGAAAATAAATGATAAGCAAAGATGACATGTTTTTCCCCAAATTATCAAGATCTCCACTCACCGAATCTCAACAGCATTAGATGGGGATTTTATTCAGCGCCAGTATACTGCATTTTCCTCAGGAGATTTAACATAACCTCTACAGTCTATACCTTTATTTATTCCAATAAATTCTATCAGTATGCTGAATAAACGTCATAGGTTTAATCATGGGTTGATATCAGTCAGTGAGCCATTGAAAACCGAGGAGTACTTGATGGCTGTTTCGTCCTACTCAGTAACTCGTCGTCAGTGCAAATCCACCCTCTGGGCTCGAACCCAGGGTCTTCCGGTTGAAAGGCAAGGCCGTAGAACATTCAGCCACTGGGTCATGGCTCAATGATCCGTGAATTGTAACTTCTACCGATTTATAAACTGTTGCATCATATCCCAGTGTCTGAATGGTCTACGAGATTGCCTTGTATCCGGAAACTCCTGGGTTCTAACCCCGGTGGGTTAGTACTGCTGAAGAGCCTAAAACTGTGACAAAACAGTCGTCCAGTACTCTTTCGTTTTCAGTGATTCTCTAAATGATATTAATGTTTGATCAAACTTGAAGCAAATGGAATCCCTACAAACAAACTCTTACAAGTTGTACATTTAATAAGTTAGTAACATCTGCTTGTATATCTGTTTTGAATGTTATTGTGCATAGCTGCAAATATGTAAAGTATTCATTTAAAGCCCTGTATAGAAATCATTGGCGCGAAAACCCCTTAGATGTCTAACCAAAAGGTTTACAGTCCGTATTGTGGAAGATCACATGTGCATGGACTGAAACCTGTGATTTAGCATTAAGCAGCTGAATAATTAATATGTTAAGAGAGCAAGACGAGCGTCCATTACACCGAAGTCAGTGGAAAGATCCACAACACTCAGTATAAGGAACAAGAACTGAATTTCCAGCACAACTGTAAAGGTAGTGCTTTTATTTGACTCGGGGACTTGGCATACGCATCACCAAAATCATTCCCAATAGACTGCAGAATTTTATCAGAAGCTGCCTTCGCTCATTACTGAAGGTCAGATGGTCAAATGGAAGCCTAACCTGGATCGAAAAATTTGGCGTCTGAAATTGTCGTAGGTAAGATCATTTGGGGAGGAAACTAAAGCTTGCAGGCAGTAGAGAACCAGTTGGAATTGATATCAGAGGACGGAGTGGAATGGTGATGTGTTGCTGAGGCTCTACGTTCCACTCGAAATGTATGGAATTAAAAATAACAATAATGTACCGGAAAAAATAACTGTTTCCAGCTAATATTGCATATCAACAAACAAAACTTATCAATAATAATGGCTAAATAGGAAAAATCCAGTGAACATACCACACCGCCTTCTGATGGTGTAAGTTGACTGTATACTCCAGTGCAAGTTACATCAGATAAAAATCGACGAGGTCCTTCTGGTACAGATGGAAAATCTCGTTTACAATTATTTGAAAAATAAGCATAACGTGCCCAAGTTCTACCAAAATCATACGAACGCTCTAAATACATAGCCGCTGGACGATATGTTTTAAAGCGTAAAATAGTTGAAATGAATTGAAATTGCGTATCCAAGTTGAGTACAATTGAAACATTGTGTACAGCATTCTGTGACTGCCACCTAAATATTCATTTAAAATTAACATTTAGAGATCAGAAAAGTTGTGAATTTTGTGGGAATAACATGTAGAGTGATCTCTTAGTGTTTATTGATTTTTTAGTAAAATTTTCAGCTTATTTCGAGATTGAATATCACAAAATTTATTAATTGAAAGGTAGATCATTTAAATGAGCAATGCAGCCATGAGATTTCTAAAAACTCTACAGAAACATTGAGTACTCCGCGAGGATTATAACAAAAAGATTACATTCTCTGACAAAAGTGATTCTAATTTAAGTAAGTACTGGTGGAGAATAACTCGATAAAAGGTATCAATACAATGAAATTGAGCAGTGGTCATATTGCGAAAAGGTTGAACGGGCTTACTATCAAAATAAGCAACTGAGAATATATTTCACGCCCTTTAGTCAAAAAGGTCCATAACAAAGTAAAAATAATGGTGAAAATAATAATGATAACGTAAATAAGAAAGAATATAAGGCATCTACAGTTAAACCATTTAAGAAGGGAACATCTGAGACCGTTCCTACGTAGAAATCTCAATAAAGTAGGAATTAAGGTGGCATTAAAACCTACAAACTCACTCAGATTGGACAAGCTCTGTAGGTTAAAGGACCCCGTCGGTTGACCCAATTAAACAAATTAATATAATTTACAAAATACATTCCAATGACTGTGAGGTCAACTACATAGGTCAAAATAGTAGATCAGGAAGGAGTAGTGAGATTATCAGAACATAAGAATTTAGCTAAGGTAAGAATGGTTGACCCCTAGACGATAAGTAATTTAGAAATAAGCTCAGCGATTTCACTACATGCATTAACACACAACCACACAATAGGGTGGGTGGGACACAGTCAAAATTCTTATAAGTAATTTAGGTAGCTGGTGAGAGAGGGAGACTGATTACTGAATCCTTGTTCATCTCGTCTACACCCAACACATGCAACAGAAATGACTCAACGCAAGTACCGGAGATATGGAAGATATTATTACCATCAGTCAAATCAGAGGAGGATAATAAATAATCTTAAAATATATTCAATTCACATTATAACGTTCTAACAAGTTATCTATTTATCTTACTATAAAAACATCATATTTTCCATCTGATTGTATTTTATTGATAACACTAATATTATTTTCGAATGTGCTCTATCTTATATTGACTTTTATTCAGATGTCTGATCAATTTTAACTCATGTATATAAATGAAGTAAAAAGTTGTGTAAGTAACTTGATACGATTATGAGCAATAATTTGTGCTCAAAACGTGGTCATCAGTTAATATTACTGTACAAAACTGTGTGTTTTATCAAAATAAAATCTTATCTATAAGGCTTTATAACGTTTATTTACACTAACTCACTTTCCACTAGTGATGGAGCTTCATAGTTTCCATGAGAAATTCATTCTTGTGAACGTTTCTCAGGATAACGAAGGCATGTTTGTGTTTAGCTTCAACCTTTGACGATTTCTGCATAATACCTAGTTTAACCTAGACATACAATTTATGTATGTATCTAGTCATGAATTTCTGATCAAGTTGATATTACTTTTTATTAGTGTGACAGTCTTAGGAAATCTGTGATGTATCTAGAATAGTTACTTGTTTACGTCACTAATTGTAGCTTTCAAACATACAGGATCGTCACCTCTCAGACAGAATCACTTTTCTGCATAAGTCTAAAAACGTCTTAGCGATTAACCGCCTATATAATATAAGTCTAATACTTTATTTCATATGGACAGAGGTCAGACAATTCAGTACAGTTAAAAAAGGGAAATTATAAACCTTTAATTTAGATCTAATTTTGTTTCACATGCGGACTATGCAAAAACTTCTTTACATTAAACTAATAGAGAATATACACATCATTCAAAAGGCTATTACGTCATATCACAAGAATCTTCACAGGTCGAATCATAAACGTCCGCAGACAAATTTTCTTTGCAACTTGATTTTCAAAGAACATCAGGGAAATAGAGAAGAACTGGGTTGAGTAGCAAGTGCATTGCTAAACGTCTTGAAAATCACTAGCTCACAAAATTTACTTCATTTCAAGCCTATTTCATTTGTACAGAATATAAGGTTTCTCTGTTAAATTATATTTTCCGTGTAGTACCAATATTTAAACAAACAATTCGATGCGCCATATGTCCTTCTCGTAAATCAGTTCAACAATTCTTAGAATCAGCAGCCAACACCAGGATAGTTAAAAATACTTATTTTGGCGGGCACTGCCATCTACTTATCTAACTCAGATTTCCTATGCAGAAACCTATCAGCCGCTATTGTTGTATAAGTACTAATGATATCACTTGGTAGGCTAGGCTACATTAATTGAAACAGGATCCGGAATTGATAATCATCATGTGAAATTCAAGTTATCAGGCAACATGCTGCAAATAAAGCCCTTTACATCATGAGGATTAATAATTAAGTTCTGTTTCCACTTTATTTCAATATACTTAAATATTTAATGTCGCTGGTGAACACAAATGCTTCTTCTAGTTGGTAACTCGAGAGGTTTGTTTTTTTTACTTCTTTTGTGGTAAATTTTCCGGGTTGTTTATAGAAAATAAGCTAGTCTTAAATCTTATTATGGCATAAAAGTGATCACGAACATAATTTTTGGCCCCATACAAGAAACAGTAGACATTTCGATTGATGTTTTACAAACTTCAGGATATGGATTAAAAATAAAAGATGATCGAAAACCTGGACCTTGAAAAGCTAGTAAAATTTGATTCTAGGAAGCTGGCAAGAAAGTGACTGCTTAAGCTGTTTCCCTCGATTTCCCGAAAATCTGATCTTGTAAGCATAACGGAGTACTTGTCACTCCTCCTTACCAGTACATAGTTATATATTTGCCATCACTTGCATTATCTGGATCTAAACATAAGCTGGTAAATTACCACTGCAAGCTGTAAAATGATGCTATATGATCCATCTAAACAATCTGAACTTTTGAGATTTTGTTGGGTTTGGAACAGCTGAGATTTATGGAACGGTGGTACGATTGTACATCCCCATTAGTTTGGCAATACTTCTGAAACTTGCTGGCACAGAAAGCAGTTAGTATGATGTTCAAAACTCAAAAGTGACTTGAATATTGGAGAGGAACAAATTCAGACTCTAGGTAGAAATAATAGGTATTTTATCGAATAAAAGATGCCCTGCAAAGATGAACAGACGTTTGAAACCGCAATGTTTATCATTTTCACACTTACAAAATTGTCGTAATTATTAAGGTCGTGTGTAAGGAAGCTAACAGAGGGATAAAGAATTTAAAAAACCCTAAATGTTCGTGGACAGTGGGATTACAAGCCACTTTCAAGACTAAGATCAAGTTGTAGACCTTTAAAAATTTAAGAATTTTGCTATTCTGCACTTGTCTTGACATAAATAATCTTGGAGATATCCCCTTCAGTAAACTGGAGTTCAAGTAATAAACTTAAATTGGTAAATGACTGAAATTCAGATGATGGCTGTGAAGTACTTAACATTTTATCAGACATGTCAAAGAGCAGCCGTTTTTCCAAGCCAATAATCAGTAGTGAATAAACCTCATTATTTGGCAACATACGGGAACATAATTGTTCGAACAGTAAAGTTTTGCGAACACGTGTTAGACTTTCCCTAGTTATGGTTATAATGATAAATATGTGGTTAGACATAAGTAAGTGTGCTAATGAATGAGTGATGAACACCGATGGATAGCAGGCAACGGAATAAAAGTCATATGGTTTTTTCTTCTTAGTGTGGTGGACTGACTAACTTATGTGTACGTATGCGAAGAATTGCGTTTTGTTGTTTATACACACTCAGAAGACAACAGTAAATTGAAAACATGTTCTTGTTGCAGCCAATGTCCACATCCTTGGTTTTACTACGTTGTTTTCCCCTATTAGCGTGGCCTACGTAGATAATAGAAAGTTAACCTATTATTACAACGGATTTAAGACTACTACCTCTATGTAATTAATTAATATCAGAAGGCCTCAAAGATATTTATCTTCACAAACGAGTCAATTGAAACTATACACATGCCTCTTTGAATTTGAAGTTTTACAAAAAATTGTGTAACATACCATCTTCCAGGATTGCTTGGAACGCGTGAAACAACGTTTTCTATCCGATGGCTTTCAGGATTGGTTATGGAATTGTATGGCTGTTTAGATGTACATTCTTTGCAGTAGCTTTTACCACTAGTTGTAACTACACAGTACGCCTCGACTTCATTCAGTCCACAAGTTGATGAAGCAATAAGGGAACTTTCACGCCCAATTAATAAGTCACCAGCTCGAGGATTACATATTGTATTTTCGCAAGAGTAGTCCTCAGAAAAAGCGATTTCGGAAGAAACTAAAATTTAATCTCCAAAAGATTTTATGTCTACCTTTAGTGAAGATTTGAAGCAGGAAGAAGAAATAGAGAAATATAAGACGCATCGTACGTCCTCATGAACGAATAATCTGAACCAAATATCCACTGTTTATTTTATAGACTGTTGAAAGAGATAAACAACAAAATCTCATATTGGCTTTAAACACATTGATATGTATTGAGTGCACACATTATTCCGAAAAATTATATAAAGAAGCTTAAATGATAATTAGTGCTGGTCATATAATGTTCACAAAGTGGTTTGCTTAACTCCAAAGACAGTATTCAGGGTGTTGTATAAAATAGGCAATTTCTATGCATTTATTTCTGAAATTGAAATTTTCCGTTTAGAACTTAATCGCAGTGTTTTGTGAAAAACTTTCCATACTGTAAAATTGCTGCCATTCAGAGAGGTGACAGGATAGTCAGAATTAAATCTATATGATTTCTACTTGTAAATCGCTCACGACAGCTAAGAATGTTGTTGTAGCGGTAAATAATTCCCCAAAATTATTAACCACAGCAATCATCACTCAACATTGGATGCTGACCATCACTGTTTAAGTCGACTTGTTTAGCTGAAGGCTTCCGGTCAAGCATCCCCGCCATTTGGTACTCCGTCGTGTCACGTGCGTGCACGATTACTAGCTAGCTAAGCATTCACCTCTACCCGCGATTTTGTCCCGAAATATAATACGTACTTTGGACGACAAAATCTGGTCTTTTGCTTTACCATTTGGTACTCGAAGAACGAACACTATAGATGAGTCCCAAACTAGGACGAAACAGCTGTCCAGTACTCCCAGGTTTTCCAGTGGTTCTCTAACTGATGTCAGCTCATGATGAAACCCTCCATGCAATCAAACCAAATCCCTACAAAACCAATACTTGCAAATTAATCTGATGCTCACTAGTGACTGGCCCTATTCAGGCAGTTAACCTGGGGTTCTAGTGGGAAGCCGTGACCAGTAGGGTACAGCAGGTCGAAGATGAGGACAGTTACTCATCAAAGAAGACATTGCGAAATGGTCGCGCTATGTCGTGAATTGGCAGAAGTTAGAATTCAAGGACCATTGGATCGGGTCCCAGTGGCTCAACGGTCTACGAGCTCGCCTTGTAACCAGAAGGTCCTGGGTTCGAATCCCGGTGGGTGCGTACTGCTGATGAGTCCCAAACTAGGACGAAACAGCTGTCCAGTACTCCCAGGTTTTCCAGTGGTTCTCTAACTGATGTCAGCTCATGATGAAACCCTCCATGCAATCGAACACTATAGAAGTTGTTGGTATAAGATCTTGCGTTAGTATAATCAGTACAACTCGCGAACGTCGATACCGTCAACCACCAAACTGGTGAGCCCAACCACGAACTACATCTTCAATTCACACGCAGATAAACCCGGTGAGTTCGTTCCTTTTTGTGTTTATTCTTGTACTATATTGTTATCGGCATACATTTCGTCATGACTGACCCTAGCTCCAAGGTTATTCGCATACGCTCAACCGCCAAAACAATCCAGCTAGTACCATATTGGCCAGATAACGCTGAAACGTGGTTTCAGATTGCTGAGTCTGATTTTTGGCATAACTGATCAACGTTCACAGTTCCTTGCAGTTATTCATGCCCTACCGCGGGAATTCAGCAAGTGCGTAACTCTGCAGATGTCCGTAAGTAACTCGTACGAGTTGCTCAAAGCATCCATCCTCAAGAGAAACGTTCTTACAGATCGACAACGTCTGGATGAGTTATTTCGTAACATCGAGTTAGGAGATCAGTCAGCCGTGAGCATGCTGGCAAGAATGAAAGAGATCATTGGCCAAAGTCAGTTCGATGAAGGACTGTTTAGAGAACTATTTTTATCCAAACTGCCACAGTCAGTTCAGACTCTACTTGTGACACTTCAAAGTGTTCTCATAGATGACTTAGCTGTCTCTGCAGATAGAATTCTAGAGATAACGAAACGGCCAGTTACCGAAGTATACTCTGTTACCGAACAGACTTCGAAGAAGGATTCTGCAATGATAGAGTTAATCAACTCCGTCCAGCAGATGCTTAGGTCAAACAAGCCTAGCAATTCCTCCTACCATCTTTCTAAATCCCCTCAACGGCAAAACACACGTGGACGATCTAAGTTCAACACACGTTCTCTCAAAAATCCTGACTGGTGTTGGTATCACAACACCTATGGCAAGGAAGCGAAATGTTGTCGAAAACCTTGTGATTTCGGCAAAGCCTCCAAGTCTGTGGGAAACTATCCCGCCGGCACGCGTTAGCGGCAACCGTCGCCGGTGGCACTAGCCGCTTACTTTACATCCATGATGTAATGAGCCAGACTAGATATCTAGTCGACACAGGCGCCGAAGTCAGCGTCCTTCCTGCTACAGCAGCAGATCGACAGAAGGATCCTAACTTCAACCTACAGGCTGCAAATGGAAAACCAATTGCAACCTATGGTCGGAAATACGTCTATCTGAACGTAGGTTTACGCAAACCTATTCGGTGGATTTTCCTAATCGCTGACGTCACAATGCCCATCATTGGCACGGACCTACTTAATCATCATGATTTGCTCGTAGACGTCCGCCGTAAACGACTAATTGACAACACTACTAGTTTGTCTATCAAAGGCATAACTTACGTAGGCCCCAGCTTGTCAATCGTTAAGATGAAAGCAATCCTCGATCCAACTTTTCAACCGATTGTTGACAAATATCCGGAACCCAATTGCCCATCTAACGATCTCCCGTGTATAACCAGCAATGTTATGCACCACATCATAACCTCAGGACAGCCCGTGACATCTAAAGCACGACGACTGGTCCCTGACAAACTGAGAATTGCCAGAAACGAATTCGATTATATGCTCACCCTTGGCATCATTCGGCCATCGAATAGTCTATGGGCATCCCTATTGCATATGGTACCGAAAAAAGATAGTAACGATTGGCGACCCACTGGTGATTACCGGCGAGTGAACGCCAAAACAACTCCTGATTGCTACCCTTTGCCTCACATACCCGACTTGACGGCAACGTTATCTGGAGCATCTATATTCTCCAAAATCGACTTGGTTAAAGCATATAACCAAATCCCGATGGCAACGGAAGATATTCCGAAAACGGCCATCATCACGCCTTTCGGACTTTTCGAATTCCTACGTATGCCATTTGGCCTCCGGAATGCAGCACAAACATTCCAACGCTTCATCAACGAAGTATTTCGCGGTCTCGACTTTGTATACGCATACGTAGACGACTGCCTCATTGCCAGTCCAGATAAGGAAACTCACCTTAGACACTTGGACTTGGCATTTGAAAGGTTACGCCAACATGGTGTTACCACCAATATACAGAAGTGTCAAATAGGCGTTGACTCACTCGATTTTCTGGGTCACACTATTGACTGTCAGGGCATTCGCCCACTGGCTACTTCGGTCGATCACTCTAAGAAAACGCGTTCTGGACTTCACGTTAGATTCCCAGAATACCTTCACACCTATCTCACATAACTGAGTGACACATCAATCTTTTTTTATGTTGCGTCATTTAACACAAGTAAATGATATTTTTCCTATAACCGTACATAAAATTAAATTAGATGTATATTTTTTTCCCGATATTTTGAACGTTACATTATTTTACTGTATAGTAGATGCATGTCATATTTTTTGGTAAAAACCGCTTATTTGGTACATTTTTCTTGACAAGGTTCTCAGCATTCTTGTTTTCTTTTCCAGGTGCAGCGGGCACTGGACAGGAAACAAACGAAGCACGGGATCCAACGAACAACATTGAGGAAGCTATGTACAGACACCCTATTAGCATAGGCAGACAGACCAGCAGGCTCTCCATCAAGCCGCTCGGAAGATTTTTTTCACCCATCAGGGAACCATCGAGATTTTTTAACTTCCGGCTGGTCATGTCTTAGAGTCCTCACAAACCCACTAGGGGGGGGAGTGAGCTGTAGCGGTAAATAATTCCCCAAAATTATTAACCACAGCAATCATCACTCAACATTGGATGCTGACCATCACTGTTTAAGTCGACTTGTTTAGCTGAAGGCTTCCGGTCAAGCATCCCCGCCATTTGGTACTCCGTCGTGTCACGTGCGTGCACGATTACTAGCTAGCTAAGCATTCACCTCTACCCGCGATTTTGTCCCGAAATATAATACGTACTTTGGACGACAAAATCTGGTCTTTTGCTTTACCATTTGGTACTCGAAGAACGAACACTATAGAAGTTGTTGGTATAAGATCTTGCGTTAGTATAATCAGTACAACTCGCGAACGTCGATACCCGCAGCCCGTAAGCTGTCATTTTACTTCCTGGAGGGAATTCTCATTATACGTGTGTAAAATGTTTCAGTAGACTCACCAGATTGCATTGAAACCCCTCTAACTATGAACAGCTATCTGCACAGATGCTATACATAATATAATACTTGAAAGTTGGATAACTCGTAATGAATTTTCACCACTGCTTTCTCAGACAGTTCAGTTGTAATGGAGTTACTGTTTTTCATTTTCTGGAATATTCGGGCTTCTATGGTAGCGCTGACTAAAAGCAAAAATATTTTCAGCCTTAAGTCTTGTCGTCATTCACTATCGGGAGCTAATCTTTGCTGTCTAAGTCTATGGATTAAGCTGAAGGAACGTGGTCCAGTATCAATGGCCTTCATCTCGACGATATGTTACTTTCGGGCGTTCGCCCACGACCATCGGTAAACAAACGGCTCAAGACATTTAGTACAGGTGATCCAAAAACTTCTATGTATTAGGTGATCTCACTGTTTTTCTTATATGTATTACTACCTGTTTCCTTTTACACTTTAAACAGGTATATTTCAGTTGGAGGACAATATACGTATACCATGGTATTAATGTCATCACTGCTTCAAAATCCCAAACCACAAAAAATCTCCTAATAGTCCTCGTCTCCTCTCATTTTGGTAACCTGTAAATCTCAATATCTTGTGAACCGTCATTTGTTTAGTCTATGACCTGTGATAATGAGTAACTCAAAGACATTTTTCAACAACTATTATTCACCTAACATGTGTCCGGGTCCAACCGCAACTTTCACAACATTTCTGTGGTATTTTATATATATAGGGCTTCTAAAACGCAGTATTCCATCGCCACTCAGTTATAGTAAGTGATTAGAGAACTCCGAAGGATAAGAAGAGTAACCAAGTAAGAATCATGTCGCCTATACGTTTTTGATGGCGCTTTTTATCTACCGAATAATGTATATCCTCTCTGTGTTTAATAAGGTTTCCCGCTTCCCCGACTTCTTGCCATGCTTTCGAAAATAAAGGTCTAAAAGCATTAGTTTTCATACATTATCACGAGTTGTCTGTCCACTTCTAAAAGACTACTCCAAGAGATTAAATATCGAATACAAGTTTGATTGGATGTATTCTTACGATGTACAAATTAGCTTTTTATTTCTTTCATTTATCTATGATTATTTAACACTGCATTCACGTACACAAAACCACATACACATAACCGACTACTCTTTACCTTTAAGTAAATCGGTTTTATTAAAACACTGATGGTATTGATATAAGAATAAAACTTGTGCACTGTGGTACAGTATAATTCCATCATGGGAACACTGATGGACAGGCAGCTTTTCAGTTCAAGGATTGTACGTTTCAAATGTAATGATCGCTCACAACTTGGGTGTTTTCCGACAATTTTTTAAGCAAATGTATTTTTGAAATCTAACCCGAATGTTACATTTCTTGTTTACACTTCGTCAACTCATCCAATATGGTCGCTGCTGATAAGTACTTCCGTTAATATGCGTAATAATCAACCAGTGTACTCTGCTTCTTTAGAGGTTGAAGGTGTAGACGTTCACAGATAGTACGATGTATACAAATGCAAGACCTAATACCATCAACTTCTTTAGTATTCGTTCCGCTTAGACCAAAGGCAAATAAAACACCAAAATTGGTCGTTCAAATCACGTAGTGTATTTTGGGAATAAATCATAGCGCGAGATTGAATTGTTAAATAGCTAGTGATCGTGCACGAACGAACGAACATGACATAACGGCATGCCAAATGGTTGATGCTCAACCATCAGCCTTCAGATAAACAAGTCCACTTAAAAGTGAGGGTCAGCATCCGATGTCCAGTGGTGAATGTTGTGGCTAATAGTTTGGGGGAATTATCTACCGCTACACTTCCATCATTACGTCTTCAGGTGCATGGTGGACTCTAAATTGATTGATAATCATTTTTTAGAACCTAATCAGACATTTCTTGAAAAACCATAGCATCATATTCTTCAGATATACAATGTGTTTCCATCTTTAAACAGTTACTGTGTTAATCAGGCCACCCACATAACCGCCCAAAAGAATAAGATTGTTTGGAGTTATCAAATCGAAATTTAGGGTATCACCGTGGAGGATTATTGTGAATAGGTCAAACTTCACTCTGAAATAGTCTCAGTAACCATTACATTTAAGATTTCAGTCATAGGAACCAAGATACTCTCGAAAATTCCAAGAAGCTTCTGCGATAAAGTTCCACTATACTTTCTAATGGATTTTATTGAAGGAATACTCGTGATCTGTCTACAATTCAGCATAGCTGCCGGGATGATAACTCTATCAGCCACTGAATACTGCATTTAACGTATCTCTCTAGTCCACGAGTTTTTATAAGGACAAAATGTATGGATCACTGAATAGGGTAAGCTTTGTCTGTATACGTACAGCCCTGATCCTTTAGTCCACAAAGTTCGCCAAAGGGTTAACTTATTCATTTTGTAACACCTAGATATTTTTGATTTTCATAAGTTCATTTCTAAGTTGCATTAGTTGTAAGGCGTCCGCCTGTAACTGTGGCTGATACTTCTCATAAGGTCTCAAGTAATCTGTTTTGTGTGCCTCCCTACAATTTAGGTGCATAGAAATTTCCCTTGACATCACTATATTCATTATTAGATGATGACTAATTTTATTAGTCAACAATGGCTAATGTGAAAACTCTGGGTGCCTTTACCATATGTTGCAAAATCAGTACATATGAATCACTAGAGATGAGGCAAAGTAAAATATGGCATGATTAGTAGAGCAATTCATTTCTCTCTGTGCTGTAATAAGCATCCGAAAAATGACTAGTGCAGCATGAAGCCACAGTCCTAGCAAGGAAGCTGTTTCCAGAATAACTACTTTTAGTTCTTCATTCTTAACTGTTTGGAAGTACTTTAACCCAGGGGCATCCAGATGTAGAAAGTATCCGAAATCAAATGCGGATAAAATCGTGAAGTTTATAATCTGACTGGTTCTTTGTTCCCTTGGGTGATTGGGTGTGTTGGACAGCATAACTAACAGCAGCGAAATGCTAACACAGTGCTTGCATTTTAGGGCAGGCACTTTACTAGGGAAAGTATCCCGGTCAAACATTTCTTTGCATATCGTTAAGCTTATTATAGATTTTCAGGTCCATTTTGACAATATCGACAATAAAAATCACCATGTGAACATTATCTACCTTCAACTCAAAATTATCTTCGTTGGTATTCTAATCTCAACCTAGCATTCGCTCAAACTGCAGCAGGTCAAATGCTAATCCCTTGTTTTGGATGCTTTACATCCTCAAGCTGTACATCGCAAATCCCCCACTGCTAGATGTCCGTTTTAATCATGCGAAAGCCTGCATTATCGATAAGGATCGTTTTAACTGACACAGTACGCCTTACTGGATAAATTCGATCGAAATATGTCATATGATTCTCCAAATAAAAAGGCATAAGGTAAAGATGTCTTCCTAGGTGATGCGAAGCGGATACCTTGTTCCCAATGACTATTCCAACACTGGCTTGCACGCTATGACACAGCCACCAAATTGCCAGGTATCACCTCTACTTTAGGATGACTTTCAACAGTACGAACAGATGTTGTACATAGGATCAGCTAGAATAGGAGACTTAGTAAATCTTAATAACATATTACTGAAACTAAGCAGAACAGAGATGCTCTTAAGTCAAAGACTAGATAATTAAGCATCTGCCACCTCCAGGTTCACTTACGCTCAGTCACATTTTTCACCTACCCATGTGTTATACATCTATTGAGAGTCTGATTAAATTCATTGCAGAAATCAGAATTTAAGTCAAACTCGTCTCTGAGAACCACTGGCAGTCTGATATTAGCTTATAATCAGTCAAACAACTATTGCCTGACGTTATTTTAATACAGTCAAGTCTAGACTTATATTGTGCGTCGGTGGCACAGTGGATAGGACTCTCGCCGACCATGCACATGGTCTGGGGTTCGATCCCCTGCCGACGCACACCCGATATCTATGGTTGGCCTGCAAAATTTGGGCTACCGATATCCATGCTGAAAATTCCATACTTGTACCGAAAGTACAGTGTGGCATCAAGCTGTAATCAAGATATAATATATAAATAGCAAAGGTTACCTTATTCCAAACCTGATATTTCTATTCAAAAATAAGCTGCTACTGACTGAATGCACCCAAACATGTATCCTTAGTCTTCTAGGTAAAAATATTCAAAATGAAACTGAATATCAATAGAATTCGAGATCAACAAAGAATTTACAGACTGAACACTGTCTAAGAAGGAGAGGGAAGTTTAAAGTTAGGCGGCACAAAGTGGATGTTGATGCAACAATCCTCCGGAGATCTTCATTATGGTTGTTTCTAATCCAAAGAAAAACCTTGAAGGTTGTAAACTACCTGTGAAGTTACCGGATTCGGATTTTTTTCGTAATTCACTATTCATGTGTAGATGACAATATATATTAGATACTGCTGAGATCTTGGGCACAAGAGATGTCGGTGACTGTACATACTACTACGTTCATTACGATGACTGTACGATGAGTCCATAATGCTAACGATTTTTAGACAACAAACGGCTAGATGAATGGGTCAGTGCGGACCGCCTTGACTTTTCGAAATTAGAAAGACCTCTCAAAAGGTCTACAAAGGATTCTGTAAACCCAGTTTTCACCTTATCTTCGACAGATGATGAGGTGCTAAGCTCCTCAGAACTTAGGAATTCAGAATCCGAACTGGTTTGTTGTCATTACGTTAGGCTAGCCGTTAGAATCCTCCTCTTAAGAGTCGCAGTTCAAGTTCCTCCAGCTTAACACAACTTAAAAGAAAACGACCACCTGATGATGTTTATGAAGGACCAATACACCTTACTCTACAAAATGATTTGGATGATCTTGTGTTTGATGGTTCTCCAACATCCGGCAAACCGAGACAAACTGGTAGTATGGTTTCCAGCAACTACGAACAGGATACAGTTACAAGAATGAGAAATCTTGAATGGATTGAATTAGGGCGATATCGGATTAAACCATGGTATTTTTCACCTTACCCACAAGAGCTGGTAAACGTTCCATGTGTATATATTTGTGAATTCTGCTTGAAGTATCTGAAAAGCTTGACTTGTCTGCGCAGACACTTAGTGAGTACATTTTTTTGGTTAAATTTTTATTACCAGAGTAAATGCACGTTAAGAAATCCACCGGGAAATGAAATTTATCGGAAACTTCCTCATAGTTTCTTTGAGATCGATGGACGTAAAAATAAAGTGAGTTTCCTCATCCATAATCCAAAATTTTAGACATATGCGCAACACCTATGCCTTCTCGCTAAACTGTTCTTGGATCATAAAACGTTGTACTACGACACAGATCCTTTCTTATTTTACGTACTTTGTGAAATAGACTCCCGTGGTTATCACCTAGTAGGATATTTTTCGAAAGAAAAGGAATCCTCTGAGGACTACAATGTCGCTTGTATTTTGGTACTTCCACCTTTTCAGCGTAAAGGCTACGGGAAATATCTAATTGAATTCAGTGAGTCATTTGTATACTTTATTTGTGTCCCTATATGTCACTTTAAACCCCAAAAAGTTAAAAGACGATAGCTTAAATGCACTTAACAGACTCCAAGTATCTTTAGTCTTTTCAGGAAAGTATTCTTAGATTTACCCTTTACATTGCTTCATGAAGTATTAGTAACTTTTTACCCATTCATTTTGAATTCCACTTATTTAGTCTACAATAGGAAGTACTAATGAATCCTGAAATTGATAAGCGTTGCTACCAGGCTAAATTGTTATAGCTGAATTTATTTTAAATGGTAAGCGCAACTTGTCAAGAACACTCATGATTGTAAGAAAGTACAAATGATCTTTTGAGTGCATTAAAAACTAGTTTTCCGTTGTATTTCTTTTTACATTCGATTTGATTCAAAACTCCTAAGTCTAGAGATTTTTCAATCTGGAAAGAGTTCTTTTTTCGTTATCATCTCAAAATATTTGCTATTTTAAATCTCTGAGTATTCATGTAAAATGCCAGTGATTAAAGTTTTATAGGTAAAATTATGTATTAGTATCTCCTTGAAAAGGCCAGTTTCACTGGATTTTGCGAGATATCATACGTGTGTGATTTGCAAGTTTGAAAAAGTGTTTTCGGACTCCACTCAGCTAAGTCTCGAATATAAGTTCCAACTAGCATTAACATTGTGGCCAAAGTATTTATCAACAAGCTGTACAATCGTATATATATGTTTTTTTTTAAAAAGAAGTTATATCCAGTGAGGGAATTAAATCATAGGTGTGAATGCATAAAATAATAATAATATGGAATGCATCTAAAACTAAAATGTTTGTGATTATAATTATAGTTAAATGTCAAGTGGCAAAACAAATTAGTGTCACTGCATTCCCCAGTGAGTGATGGTGTTCCCACCGAGCCTCAAACCCAGTGTCCATAGTTTCAAACTCCAAAGCGTTACCCACAAGACCACTTTGGCCACGAGACCGAGCACTTCGATCTAATCAATCGACGGGAAAATCTAAAATTCACTTAAATAATTACGTAGTTAGGCTTAAATATCTCTGAAATATGGAAGCAAGATTCCCACTATGAAAACGACACATAAAGGCAAACCATCCAATACGACATTCAAATGCGGTAAACGACTTGTATTCACCAAAAATATTGAAAAACAAGTCTTACGAGCTCAAAGTCGTATGTAAATAAAAAAGGACGGGGTTGACTATTTACTCCTTCGGATTGTTGATAAACATGCTTATGTTAAAGGCTTTGATAGATGAACACCTAACTGGTATACGGTTTACGACCTGTCATTATCGTGGTTTGTTGCTTGTCGTGTTAACGCATGAAGTCAATAAAAATAAATAAAATTATACGTACTAAGGAAGTTGTATATTCAAACACTTATGGTCATCTCATAGCTTTTAGTTTTCTATTAAGGGGTGGGGTGGGCGCTTTTTCTGTCTTGTGGTTTCATGAAAGCCTGTCTATTGAGACATTCCTTAGTGTGGTTTCCATTGTCTTTAAGTAAAAATTATCGCTATAGAATAAGTCGATATCTGGTCATACAAGATGAATAGGAGAAAAAACAATGCTACTTAGCAACTACATACACTTCCATGCAGTTGGTTATTAGCCACACATATCGTATGATGGCTAATAATCACTAAGTGGCTGCTCAAAACTCGGTATTTGGACTGAGATTCAAATCTTTGACCCTGTAGTTGAAAGTCAAGTGCCTAAACTAATGGGTTACATCTGCACATTTGGTTATACAATAGAAAATAAAGTGGTTGAGTAAGTTATTGGTCAAAATTAAGGTAAAAGTCTCATTTGAAATCCTTGAACTTGGACATTTTATGGTTCAGGTGAACCATCTGATTGTTCTCTAAAGGTCTTGTGCACTGTGAAACAGTGCATTCTATTCTACTCTATTGCTGTTAAATGTAATCACTGCGAAATCTGCGAAAGTGTGTTTGACCGTTGCAGACTTCATTGCTTAACCCACTATATTGACAAAGTGGAAATTAAACGTCAAACAGCTAATTCAACTGACGAAGTAGTGAATTCCCATCATCTGAATTAGTATTTATTTTGTTTATTTAAACAGTGTAGGGTATCAGAAGATATAGTAGAATGGACAAATGTAAGTATAAAAAGCTAAACAATGTGAAGAGGACTGGCGATGTTCGGAATTTTGAACAAATTATCTATGTAAACATAGTCGATATTGTGGCATATCACCAAAACATTCTGACCATTTATTTTTAATATACCAGATACCTTAACCAGTCAATTTATGTCTCTTGACACGGCTTTTATTCGCCATTATATTTGGAACCCATAAAGACCGATCCTGTCTTGCTGGTCAATTTAGATATGGTTACATAGGTCCAATGACTTTTATTAAACCTTGATAACATTTTATTAGCTGTCCTCACCTCTGTTTCTACAGAAAACAGCTTATAATCCCAAGATGACTAACACATTTTCACACAAATATCTAGTCAGCTTTGTAAATACGAGTATGATGCTTTTATGTATAATTTAATTACACAATGGCTTCCTAACAGCCTGTTTTCTGTATTTTGTCAAATAAAGACACTTCCACCTGATGGTGTTTGATTAATATTTACAAAGACTCTTTCCAATGTTGTCACGTCTTTTTATCAGTTTTCTCAGCCAGTGAATTGGCAAAATGGTATACTTATGTCGGCTAGTGACTTGATGTTGGAGTGCGCTAAGACAAGCGATAATAATAATAATAATTTAATGCTGACTAGTAATAGATGATTACCTGGACGAAGTTGTAAGGAACCATCACTGCTGCTTATTTGTATTTTTTGCAAAATTGACAGCTTCAGGTAGAACTTTATTTCGTCTGAATCACAGGACGAGTTCACTTCCATAGTATAAGCTACCTTCAATGCATTAGTTTCTCTTTTGTCAACGTTTCTAGTATAGTGACACAGGAAAAATCTTATGTATATTGTTGGTCCATTGCAATATATGTTAAAGTAACAGTTGTTTGTCAAAGGTGTTGATCGAAATTGGAGAATATGGTATTGTAAACTAAAATATAAAATCTAAATGACATTTCAACTGGGTCATAATTATGCCCAATTATACATTAGGATCATAAGTTCCAGTCTTTATACGTTGTTTCTTATGTCTTCTACTTTAAGGTTATGAATTGAGCAAAATTGAAGGTAAATCTGGATCACCTGAAAAACCGTTGAGTGATTTGGGTTTATTATCTTATCGGTCGTATTGGGCTCAAACAATTTTGGAGTTATTATTAAATTCTAAAGCAAGTGAATCTGGACAAGATCCTGCATTAAGTATCAAGTAAGTATACTGTATCGATCTATATCTCAGTTTATGCCAAGAATTGTCTTTTGAAAAAGCTATTTTTTTACTGCATCGTTAAATGCTTTAAAGTATTTGTATTCACACAATAGATACGTGACTCGATTGCCTATTAAATAAGTGTGCATGCAGTTCCAGGGTTTTAGTGTGTTCCACTTTTTATCCAGTTGATACATTCTGAAGTTTGTGACGATAACCATTAACTTTTGAGTTACCCAAATATGCCATAATAAAAATACAACCAAAAACAAGGGGTATGTCGGTATGTATCAGTCCATTCACTTGTATTACTTCTCAAAACAAAAACAGTGCTGAAAAAATATTTGTTGGATGTTGTGTTTCTGTCTATGTTTATCTACGGTAGAGGTAAAGCACCAATAGTTTGAGCCTGCTGGTATTATGGCTCAAAATCGTTCTTTATGAACTCTTAGATCCATTAACCTCCATTCTCCATAAGTTTATGCTTTCTCCTATACGCGTCTGTTCATTATATTTCCTTTAAATTTAATTCCTTCCCGCTTTGTCCTCTTCGTGATCTGGCAAGTTGAACAGCTACAATTTTGTATATAGTTTTGCGTTTAAAACTTAATCAGACAGTCATATAAGCGACCGGTTTATGAGAAGTCAATTGTCGGGAATAGTATGTCAGCTTGAACAATGAAAGCAAATAAAGCAAGATAAAACGGACCCATTTTATTTTGTCTGTATCTCTCCCCAGTTGCATATAACCTGATTAGCGAGAAGTAGTGGCTTCACTACGGTTTTTACATTACTTCATTGGAGGTCAAGTGTGGAGCAATAATTAAGGATGACCATGGTGTATAAATGTGCGTCGGTGGTACAGCGGTAGAATGCTCGCCAATCACACATATGGTTCGGGGTTCAATCTCCGGCCGGTAATAAGACCGGTAGAGAGGGAAGGTTGGGCATGAGGCTTGCAATCCCACCCCTTAAAAATAAACACCACTGCTACCGAAAATTCAAAGCTCTAACCTGTAGCCCTGTGTTCCAGTTGGAGAGTGAAGGTCTAAAACTAACAAAAATAATAGTGGTACATAGATAAATCGAAATGTTAAGCTGGTGAAGTATGAAGACACTGTTGTACTTATATATGTAATGTAATCCAAGTTTCTCGAGTGACACAAAAATGGGGAGTAAATGTAGCAACAAAGTATTGAGATACTACAAAGTTATGAGATTATGTAAGTTCTTAGAAATTCGTAAAAATATAAAAAATTATATATATATATATCGAAACAGAAAAGCCAGATCTCTGTGTACAGAAAAAGTTCGTTCAACCCCTCCAACTTTCATGGTCTTAATCCCTCTATGCTAAATATAGTAATCCGTAATCATATTTTGGCTATACCAGTTTTTCATTTTGTCTATTCAATTTGTATTCTCTTCCTTTATCACGTCAGTTGTTACTATTACTATCCTCACTTTGAACTGTCCCCGCTATTATTCCGCTTGTTCCACTCGTCATTCTAAATCAATTCCATTTTACAACATTAAATTCTATGCTATCAAATTTCACACATTATTACGTAACGTTTTTATTTTATTCGATTTGTCTACTAATCCTATAATTGCACACCTTTTTCAAGTTCTATCCATCCTATGAATTATTCTATATATGACATTAATTGTTTTGCCACTTGACATTTAACTATGATTATAATCACAAACATTTTAGTTTTAATTGCATTTCATACTATTATTATTATTTTATGCATTCACACCTATGATTTAATTCCCTCACCGGATATAACTTCTTAAAAAACCATATATATACTATTGTACAGCTTGATGATAAATTCGTTGAAAAGAGTCTCTTCACTGAATCATTTGTTTTGATTTTCTATATGTTACAATGGGAATTTTCCATGAGTTGAAGAATAATTTCATTGAGAAGCATTTGGATTTAATCCAAATGGGAGATCACAAACAGTGAATGCATCTGCGCCATTGAGAACGAATAGTCTGCAGACATTGGTTCTTTGCATCCCGAAGACCCGAACCTGGCAAACTGCACCCCCCCTTTTTCATCCCTTTGCTTCTCTAGTGGAAAATATATCTTCAAGCGTTGAAGTTTCATTAGTGTTGGAAAAGTTTTTACGGGGTAGGGCTGCTAGCCTCACAGCCAACCTTCCTTCATTCCCAGACTTTCTACCAGTTAGGCGATGTTTAGGAGTGCATCGGTCTGAAATGCAACCTGGATCACATGCGTGGTTGGTGGCTATTCTACTACTAGGCCGCCCACGCACTTGATATTGATAGATTACTAGCACCAGATATGTGGTGCCAAGTTGGGCGAATATAATGTAATGCGATAACACTGGGTATAACTATCTCCATCTGGAAATCCTATCTTAATTCACACACTGGTAAGAGAAGCATATTATAGTGGTGAAAATAGCTAAAAACACAAGTCCAACCTGTCAAAGACTTCATAGATTAACTCCAGGTTTTGGTTTGACCACCCCTAACTCAGCCTAATCCTATGTCTGTTAACATTGCTGGACAAAGAAGGCGGTTGCTTGGCATGTGCAACACGTGTTCTAGCCATCTTCACAACTTCATCAATTCACTTCCCTTACTTAACTTCAATATCGCTCAGCATAATGTGCCACTTAACATGGGAGACAGAACGCAAACATCTGTGGTCAAACACATCTAGTCTCTTTATGTCTTCCACTTTCGCTTACCGTATCTAACAATTCTTATAAATGAGGACAGAGCGAAATGATGCGCAATACGCACGTTCTTTGATGGGTAGGTGACTGTGAAGGTGACTAGTTGGTGCTGTTGTTATCGTCATGTCATCGTGATAATGTAGCTAGTAAATAGTATAAATAGTATATTTTCTGTAACGAAGCGGTGATTTATATTGAAAATAACAGAGCATTAACCAGTGGTCTGTGAAAACTGCGTGTGATATTGTCACTTTCTTGTTAGCTCTGGCTAGGAATAAGTTTAGGGGTTATGAATATTAGGTAAATAAGTTAAGCCAGTCAGTCACTGAGGTTGTAAAGTTTCGTTGACTGAGGTCACTAGGTTTTGTACCGTGCATCCCAAATCACTCCTCCCCTTGACGATTTGTGCTAACTGAAGTAGGACTAAGCTGGTAACAAGTTACAGGTAACCATACTAGAATATGGTATTAATCCATGAGGTTATTGACTAATAGCTTAAACTACTTAAAGGAGTTCAGATTCCTTGGTGGGGGTACTGGAGATGTTGAGAATCAATGGTTAGAGGAGACTGTTTGTGAAATCATGAGTTGAAATAGTTAAAAATAATGCAGATATATTTATCCAGAACCTGAATGTCTCTATTTAATTTACTTGATCCATCATACCCATTTAATTTGATTCTATTTCCGTTCCCCTATACTGTGTCCTTTTTTGAAGTGCACCAACTTTTACACTTCTATGCTAAGTTCTCCGTTGATCCGTGAATCAGTTTAAATAGGTACATGTACGTTCATGACTTGAACCTGATCACCGATGCTACCTGAAAGATCCCCGTATTATTATTCCCTTGGGCCTCAGCAGCACATCTCCATTCCAGCCTATCCTTTGTAACTGGCTCCACGATTGCCCATAAACTTTCATTTCCTCTTCACACGATCTCTCCTTCATTTCACCCTCGAACACCCAACTCGTCATTTCCTATTCAGGTTCCACTCGTGTGATTCTCAGCCTGTGTCCAACCCATCTCCATTTCCTTTTGCATATTTGTTAGGCAGTAGGTTTTTGGATGTTTCGTTGATACACCTTCCTTGTTGCTAACCCTTTCCTGCTAGCCATCTGATCTTCAATATGGAGCGAAGACAGCTGTTGATAAAAGTCCGCAGTAGCCTTTTGGATATGAATTTGGTGACGCGCCGAGTCCCTGATCCAAATGTATGGACAGACTTGATAGATCTCAGTAAGTAGATATAGTGGAATTCAAATTCATGACCTACCATCTGAAAGTTCAATGCCTAGACAAGTGAACCATTGTTTTACATACTGTGAAACTGATCAATTAAGTAACCGTTTATTTTTTTTTTACATAATTTCAATTAATTCGTCTGTCTACATTATAAATTTCTTTTCTACTTTCCAGTGACATTGTCGACCGAACTTGTATTAAACGCGATGATGTTATTGCTACATTATCTCATTTAAATGTATTATACTATGTTAAAGGACAACATGTTATCTATTTATCACGTGACCTTATTCAAGCTCATCAAAAAGCAATGCAACGTCGTAATCTTCGTGTTGATTCAAAATTACTTAATTGGAAAGCAAAAGATTGGAGTAAACGTGGACGATGGTGATTGATGTGATTTTTCTGCCATACTTATACATTTAATGAAAGCTACTAATAAAATTATTTGCTTTGCCGTTTGTCTGTGTATCTGTTCGTGCTTGCGTGTATGTGTGTGTATGTGTGTGCCAGTCAGTCAGTCAGTTAATCTTCTCTCTTACAGTGGTGAATGACTACACCTGTCGGTGTATCTCTGTTCCTCTGACTTTCTTTCCCTTTGTCTTGTCCTTTTGTGACGTATGTATACATGATTTATTTAGTAATCTTCAGTGAACACAATACTTTATGAAATTTAGGTTGTGTAATAAATTGTATACAGTTATATGTAATCAGTTGTTGAAAGTAATGCTTATACAACAATTACAACAATGTTATTTGGAAGAGCTTAAGCAGTTCTTTACTTACGTGAAATCACTTCATTTTTCTGAGATAATGATTCCATGTATATATGTGCACACATAATGGTTGATTATGCGCTTCACTCACCCATTATTATTGAGATTTTCATACTTCCTAGACTAATTTAGACTTGTATCCTCATAGTTCACCTATTGAATTCAGGTAATTATTAGTACTCGTTATTCTATCGTTAACACTTACTGTACTATCACAAAGTAAATAAATGAAAGCTGTACTACAGAAGAATTGTTAAATTTCAAGTTCGTTCACGAATTAACTTCATTTAGAGAACCATTGAGAAACAAGGATTACTGGATAGTTAACTGTGTTGTCTTATTTACAGACTGGTTCTCAGGCTGATGTCATTTTGTGATCAAAGCTTAAAATCAATCAAATCCCTGCAAGCCAGCACTTGAAGATTGATCTAGTGGGAAGTCGTGACTAACGGAGTTCACCGAGTTGGAAGTGAAGATAAATACTCACCGATGACATTGGCTGGTGATCGTGCTATGTATTGTGAATTGGTGGGAGTTAGAATTGATGAGCTATTGGATTTTGTCCTAGTGGTTGAATGGTTAACGAGCTCGCCTTTTAAACTAAAGGTCTTAGGTTCGAATCCCTATGGATTCGTGTGTATGCGCTGATGAAGCGTCCCGGACAGGGACGAAACAGATCCACTGTACTCCCTAGTTGTCAATGGTTCCGTAAATGAAGTTGGTTCACGATCCATAAGTAAAGTCTCAAATACATATTAATCACTAGATAGTTCTTAGTATATCAGTCTGAGGTACCATCTTTATCTTTGCATGTTGTGCAGGAATAAAAGTACATAAGCAAGACATCTAATTGACAGTCATGATGTTAAGTGCTTGAAGGGAGCCTTAAACAAATGTTTCTTGCTTTCTGGCACTTGTCAACTAAGCTTATCTGCAACTTTGAAGGGATTACTGTTCCCCTAGTGATTTGAACTCGCGTCATCCTGTGTTGTAGCTGTAAACGTTACCACTGTGCTATTCTGGCTTACAGTTGACCTCCTGTAGGACTGGAATGGAACCATTGATTGGTCGTTGGGCGGTAACCAATGTCATGTGTCTAGTCCTTAGTGTCGGTGCTGACACTTCACTCGACCACTTTATCCCCACACTCAGAAAATGAATGGGAGGACAGGTTTTATGCTTCCACTCAGTAGACTAAATCACTGGAAACTGCAGCTATTTATGTAGTTCTCTTACACAACTAACAGACTCCCAGTTTTAACTGGTTAGGATGTGCCAAGAAAACCCCACCGACTTGGTCTTTAATCTCCGTCATGATCAAGAATCAGGTATATAGGTCACATAGGAGAAAATGTCACCTTTTCATCTAACTGTGTAATATAATGTTTCTCTTACACCACTCTTACCATTGTAACTGATGACCAACTTGTCAACAAGTTAAACTTTGCACAAAAGTACCTGAATTCAAGGTGTCACTTTTGGCTTTGGCGCATACCGGAGAGAGAACAAGTATGTGAAGATTATTGGCAATTTTCAGAATCTGTTTATTGATAAGTAGCGAATAAATCTGTTCCATTACGAGCACTGTCATCGATTCTTAGCATCTGGAGGACGCCAGCCAAGTGGTCTTCTGTGATGGATACGTAGTCTGATATATATGCACCAGTTTAGTTAGCAAGTTGATTTGGTCAGTTGGATGATATGAAATTTTCACCGATGTATTGGGGAAAACGATTGAGTAGGCTAGTAGGAATACTGAATCATAAGTGCAAATACGCCTCAGTCGATTGTTTATCTGTACTAGTTTTGTAACAACAGAAGATAGAGGCCAGGCAACAGATCGTTTATTTAGGAAATCAACACATATTTATAGATTTTCATGTAAATTATTATAGATTATTGTAAGCAAACAAAAACAATCTTCTGACTGGTGGTTTCTCGCTGAACGTTAATCTTTCACCTCTTTGTGGCCGTTTCTTGAAGTTCAGATTATTTATCTGCAAACTGCATCCACCTACGCAAAGTCTGCTGTGGTTAGTTGTTGAATCCGTCTTTGTTCTCATTTTCTCACCACCAATATTGGGGACGTAAATTACTGTCTAGCAATTTGGCTAGCAGCCAGCTCTCACCACAGTTTAAGTATTTCTAAGTGTTGTTAAACAGAGGAGAAAAGAGTAGATGTTTAGGAATTCTATGTGTTGTTTAGTAATTTAACGTTAAAAAAACTGTGCCACTATTCAATCATTCGAGTCAAGCTTCTTACATATCAAGCCTTGTAGAATTAGCAACTGTAGTCGTCTTTATTGAATAAGCCTATTTTTTAATTCATATGTATTCGCTGGTACTCAGTTATACTGTAAACAAAATATTCACCATAATTATTCGATTGAATGTAGGTACAGACCAGTTGGCCTAATCGCCAGAATTTCAAAGAATGGGTTTGAATCTCGCTCCGCCTAATTCAGCTTGGGCAACCGGCTGAGTAGTTTCATCATCCCTCTTAGCCTGGTACATAAGAAATCTGTTCCTGGTAACTAAGTACTAAAATACATGTGTACTTAGTCGAAAATGTGTTGAACAGCTTCCTTTTTCTAGGCCAGTCTTATTCGTTGACAATGAAATGAATTATCCAAGAAACTTTCCTTAGTTGGACTGCACTTTACAAACAAAAGCATCTCAAGTTGGATCACTAACCAGGCAGTTTTATATAATAATTTCCTCCTAATTTGGGACTCTTCATCAGTATGCACGCACGACGCTACCAGAGATCAACTTTAGGATCTTAATGTTACAAAGTTCAGTCGCTGGGATGAGATTCAGTGACACATGCACTATACATTCAGGAGTCCACCAGCTCGAATTTCGGAACAGTTAGGTTGCCTCTGACATTGGCTGGTAGTGGTGCAGCATACAGCGAAATTGCAGCGTGATCAGTGGTCTCTCTTCATAACCCCAAAGTCCTAGGTTCTTTGGCCGGTAGAGTCATGAATGCGTCCCAAACTATGACGATACAGGTATGCAGTAGTCAATGGTTTTCTGACTAGTGTTAGTTCGTGATCTAACTTAAAATCAAAGGAATCCTTGTGAATCGATAATTGAAAACCAAAGAATCACCAAAGCGTAATTGTCACAGGTGAAAATTACAGCCACATATTTATTGGTAAGAATTCATTGATGTAGTTAGTTACTCAGAACAGATTTTTCATGAGCCATGCTTGAGTGAAGGTTGAAGTAGATAGATTGTGGAGAATTCGATGTCGGCCTGAAAGTTAGTCACTGAAGTCAATTAGCCCTATTTCCACAAATCATTAGCTATCCAGTGGTCTTACAAGTAATGTCTTTGATCGATTGCATATTGTCTGTTAAACAGTTTTCTTAGGTCATATTCGTGTATTATTAATACCAAATTAATAATTATTCTGATGTGGTTGCGTTCTGTGAGCTGGATAGTTAAATTGTAAAGCTTTCTTTGTCCTTCTGGGCAACATCTTCAAGCCGAGTTTTAATATGAAGTGAAATTGATTGAATTCTCCATGACTGATACAAATGTATCTTCTGACAACGTTTGTCTTCCACTCGGTTAGGAGTGAGGACAAACACTCGCCGATGATATTGGCTGGTAGCCGCGCTAAATTTCACGAATTGATGGAAGTTAGAATTCATGGGTCATCGAGTTGCGTCCCAGTGGCTAAATGGTCTACGAGCTTGCCTTGTAACCGGAAGGTCCTGGTTTTGACTGATGGAGAGTCCCAATCCGGGACGAAACATCTGTCCAATACTCCATGCTGGTTTTCAGTGGTTCTCTGTCTGATATCAATTTGTGCTAAAATTTGAAACAAATCCATGCCGTGATTAGTTGTTAATTTGCACCCGTATCGATAAATTTTAGCAATTATTCTATGGAGAAAATTCCTATGCTATATGTGTGGTGAGAGCCGGCTGCTAACCAAAGTTGGTAGACAGTAATTGACGTCAATGTTTATGTCCCCAATATTGGTGGTGAGAAAATGAGAACAAAGGCTTTGCGTAAGCGGACACAGTAAGCATATGGATGATCTGACACAGCCACACAGAAATGCAAGGTTAACTTTCTGTGAGAAACAACCAATCAAAAGACTGTATTTTCTACTAACAATAATGTACATTAAAATCTATAAATATGTGTTGATTTTCCTTAATAAACGATCTGTTGCCTGGCCCTTGTCTTCTGTTGTTACGTATGAATTCACAAGGCATAAATCAGTAAAAGAACCTGCTTTTCGTAACTTCACTTCAATGCTGTACAGTTATCTGGGATTCGAAAAGATCATGGTAATGTCTATAAAGGTCATTTGGTAGCAAAAAATATTAAATTACAAATCAGGAAGAAGTAAAGTAAATAAATCATGGAACTTAGTTAAATAGTCTTGTGTAATTTAAAAAGATTTGGAAATAAATATCGTTCAGGAATGATTATCATTTTAAACTGTAAACGCTTGAAAACAGGAACATTGTTCATAAGAGTAAGAGATTGGGAATGTGTGTAAGGCTGAGTTTAAAAGGAACAGAAGAGATGAAAAAACCTGCGGAGATGGATCACATACCAAATTATTGTCCAAGCCAAAAAATATCGTGCAATACACACACACATACAAAGTTTGCGAGATCATGGTAGAAAAAGGAACTTTCAGGAATTAGTTTGTAGGGATTCTATTTGTTTCAAGTTTAACAGCGGACTGATATCAGATAGGGAACCATTGAAAAACCAGCACAGAGTACTGGACAGCTGTTTCACCGTGGCTTGGGACTCTTCAACAATATGCACCCCTGGGGTTCGAACTCAGGATCCTTTACCAATTCATGGGCCATTGAGATGGGTACCAGTGGCTGAATGGTTTACGACCTTGCCTTTTAACCGGAAGGTCCTGAGTTCCAGTCTCGGTGAGTCCGTAGTACCGAAATGGTTGTCCAGTACTTCCTTGTTTTCAATGCTTCTCTAACTGATATCAATCCGTGGTTTAACCTGAAAGAAGAAGGAATGGCGTTCAGAGGTGAATTATTCTTTCCAGAGATACCATTCTCAATTTGTAGTAATGCACATTTATAATACATTCACATAGCAATGAAAGGAATATTTCCACAGATGTATCATTGCAATTTTGAGTTTTAGATAACAGTCAACAGATTATATAATACGGAAGCATTAATCAGGCAGAGACT